AGACATACCCTTATTCACTATCCATGATGTCTGATTAGCAACATAAGTCATGAATTTTTGCATCTGTTTCCTAATTGAACAACAGTAACTTTTTAATCAGAAGAGTAAATAGTTTTCCTTCATATGTCAGTCCCCATGTTCATGTGAAAATAAACATATCTGTAAAAAAACCAGCTATTCTCCATGAACTAAAACTTATTCGTGTTGCTTCCTTTTCAATAAATGCACTTTTAGTCTTTCATTATGGAAAACAGCACAGAAAGAAAGCACAAATGTAAAATCAGTATGAAGGTGTTCAATTTCTGTGCAATTCCTGCACCTTGAATTTCTGCCCCCAACAGTCAGGAAGACTTTGATTTACCTTCTTTGCATGAAAAGCAACAAGAGCTTGTATTAAACAACTATGTAATTTTTATTTAAGGATTAGGTAGCCCAGATGCAAGAGCTATGGCAAGCTACAGCCTGCTCTAGACTGATCTGTCCCCTGCAAAAGGGCCTACTCTTCAGAGACTGAGCCCCAAGCCACAAGACCTGTACAGCCTTTTTTAGCTCTGTAGCACAAACCCTGAAATCCTGAGTCTGTCTACCCAGGCTCTGAGATTCCCTCAGTGTCTAGACACACAGCAAAGTTAGTGGTAGAGCCCACAACTTGGATTCTTTAGCAACTGGATCACTCAACCATACTCCCTTTATATTTGTACATCTGTAAGTCAAACCATTGCACCTGTAATTAATCTAACATAACTTTTCTACAAAGATGTTTGCCTTTGCCCATGTAAACTAAGTCTGTTAGTGACAAAAGTTTAAGGTCAAGGAGTAATAAATATAAGCATACAGGCTGTAGTGTAGCACATCTGCAACAGAGCTGACAACACCTGCATTTCACAGTTTTGATCAGAGAGTTATTTCTAATTAGCTGTTCCAAATTATTTTCAGCTCCGTATGCTGTTCTAGTGAGCATTCTGAGGTAATTTAATTTAAAAATCAACTTTGGAAGCCATCCAAAAGTAAATATGTCCCCATTGTTCATGAACATCTTAAAAAAGCAAAACAGGATTTGCTGATAAAAGCTGCAGTACTGTGCAAAGAATTGATATCTCTGTTCAGCTAAGTTATGCAAATAATTGCAAAGCCAAATTATTACAATAAACTTCCAGTTACATAAAAATATAAAAACAGCCATACTGGGTCAGACCAAAGGTCCATCTAATCCTGCATTCTGTCTTCAGACAGTGGCCAAAGCAGATGTTCCAAAGGGAGTGAACAAAACAGGTAGTCATCAACTGATCCCTCTCCAGTTATCCATTTCCAGCCTCTGACAAACAGAGGATTGGGATACCATTCCTACCTATCCTGGCTAATAAGTATTGATGAACTTCATGAGTTTATCTAGTTCTTTTTTGAACCTTGCAAAAGGCATGGTCTTCACAACATCCTCTGGCAAGGAGTTCCATGGGTTGACACTGTGCTGCTTGAAGAAGAACTTCCTTTTGTTTGTCTTAAACCTGCTACCTATTAATTTATTTTGTCGACCCCTTAGTTCTTATGTTATGGGAACAAGTAAATAACTTTTCCTTATTCACTTTCTCCACATCAGTCATGATTTTATAGACATCTATTATATCTCCCCTTAGTCAAAGGGTACCATTTTTGGGAGGGTAGGGGAGCAGCAGCCATGCACTCTCGGACCTGGCTTGCTTTTCATCCTGTTCTCTTGGCAATCAGGGAGTGAGGGGAAAGTGCTTGCATTCCATGCATGCCTCTCACACCTGTCTGGCGAAGGGAGCACACTAGCCAGGTGTGAGAGGCACGCACAGAATGCAAGTACAGGTTGGGCCTCCCTGGTCCTGTACCCTCTGGATCTGAGCTGTCCCAGTCCAGGAAGTTTGCTAGACCAGGGGAAGTCAGTGCTTCCCTGCTGGCTGCCCCACTCCTGGGTTCCTCTCCCTGGGGCTCCCTGCCTTGCGGATGGCCCTCCTAACTCTGACCCACCATGGCTTCCTACCTTGCAGCCCGTCTGCTGTCCCAGAGTCTCTCAGAGTCTCCCAGCCAGGGCGGAGACTCCCCAGCCATTTGATTCCTCTAACACGGGGGTTTCCCCTGCCTGGGCAGGAGCTCCCAGGCTGCCTGCCATCTGGCCCCACTAATGCTGGGGTTTGCCTGGCTGGGGCTGGGGCACCCTGGCAACTGCCTGGCCCTGTTGATGCTGGGGGGTTCTAGGCCAGGGTGGGGGCTCCCCAGATGCTGCCTGGCTCATTTGGGGCTCCCCTGCCCCTGCATTGCTCTGGGGCTCTTTGGTCCGGCAACATCCCTGGCTCTGCTGGACCACAGATGTTGCCAGACCACAGAGTCCTGGATTTGTGAGATGCAACCTCTACTTCCCCTCACAACCTGATAATCCGGGGAACGGGATGAAAAGCAAGCTGCATCCTGGAGCACATGGCTGCTGACCGCCCACCCTCCTGAAATGGTGCCCTTGCCTTAGTCTCCTCTTTTCTAAACTGAAAAATCCCAGGCTACATCTACACAGCCCTCTCTTGTGCAAGAAAATATGCAAATGAGGTGAAACGGTGAATGTCACCGTGTCTCATTTGCATACTTAATGAGCTGCCATTTTTGCACAAGGGGCTTTTGCGCAAAAAGGAGCCATCTAGACGGCTCCTTTTTGCGTAGAAATCCCCTCTTGCGCAAGTTCTTCCTGAAAAAAAGTGGCAAAATGGCTCTTGTGCAAGAGAGGGTTTTTGTGCAAAAAGGAGCCAAGTAGATGGCTCCTTTTTGCACAAAAGCCCCTTGTGCAAAATGGTGGCTCATTAAGTATGCAAATGAGGAGTGGCGATATTCACCGCTTCATCTTATTTGCATATTTTCTTGTGCAAGAAAGAGCAGTATAGATGTAGCCCCAGTGTTTTTAATCCCTCTTCATATGGCACCTGTTCCAAATTCCTAATCATATGGCCCTTTTCTGAGCCTTTTCCAATGCCAATATATTTTTTTGAGATGAGGCAACCACATCTGTATGCAGTATTCAAGATGTGAGTGTAACGTGGATTTATATAAAGGCAATAAAATATCTTCTGTCTTATTCTCCATCCCTTTGTTAATGATTCCTAACATTCTGTTTGCTTTTTGACTATTGCTGTACATTGAGTGGATGTTTTTAGAGAACAATCCACAATGACTCCACGATCTCTCTCTTGAGTAGTTGTAGCCAAATTAGTCCCCATCATAGTGTATATATAGTTGAGATTGTGTTTTCCAAAATTAGCCCCCACTATGTATAGTTGGGATTTTTTTCCAATGTGCATTACTTTGCATTTATCAACTTTAAAATTCATTTGCCATTTTTGCTACCCAATCATCTAGTTTTGTGAGGTCCTTGTGAAGCTCTTCACAGTCTGCTTTGTTCAACTTTCTCAACAACTCTTTGAAACATAGAAGTTTATAAACCAGATTTATAAATAGATAGAGGTTTATAAACACGTTTATAGCTACGTGTTAAAGGGTATTTTAGGTTCATTCTTAGTGGAATCAGATGCCATTACTTTTTACAGTTCCAAACAGTAAAACATCAGTAATGGTGGAGTGTTCATAAAGCCATAGAGCATAATTTAGAATTCAGTCCAGTTTCCAGAGCAAAGGTGTAGTGTGTGCGCTGCTGTTGAAAGGTGTGGCCAGCCAGCTGCATGGACTGAGGGAAGGTGGAGGTGGGAGGAGGCTAGACTCACCCCCTTTGCACTTTTCCCTTTTTGGGGTGAGATGCACCCTGAAAGCAAAAGGACAAAGTTATTGCACTGGGGGATTCAGGTGAACAGGGGGGAAAGAAGAAGGCTTTTTGCACCTGCCTCTTCCCCTGGGCATGCATCAGGTATAGGTGATTACATTATGGCTCTTAGACTCATGAGCAGACAGATCAGTGACTAAATTGTTGTTCCATGAAAAAACAGGACTTTAGGTATTCTAACCAGTGCTCTAATGCTATGCCCTAAACAGGATGCAGCAGAGCATTTACTGACAGATAGTGACAGTTTCATGCTACAAACCACAGGTCTGATTCTGCAGCACCTACACAAACAAAACACTTCTGAAAGGGACTGCAAGATCAGACCATCTGACACTAGAAATATCAGTGATCCTGGGTGAAATTGTTGCTCCACTGAAGTAATGGGAGTGCTGCCATTTACTTTACTGGTGCCGGATTTCACCCCTTAGCTTGAAACCTTTCAGGATTGTCACGGATTCTCAATTCTAGCACTCGGCTGTCACAGTACATTTAAGTTGTTTTAATTTATATGTCTAATAAGGCTGCAAAGCAATGAAGGATTGGTTCCTATTCCCAATGAAGCTGCTGGGAACTTTGCCATTGACTTCAGTGGGAGCAGGAGAAGGGCTTGTACAATCCCGTGGAACAAGAAATAAACATTGCACAAACCACAGCAACAAACACAATACAATGACATAGCAATAGCTGGGTCCATTCTGTGACTAGGTGCCCCCACGCCAAACAAATAAATAGTCTGGGCCAAAGCTTAACGTGTCTTTGGAGAGTGAAGTGAAGCCCTAGGAACTTTGTAAGCAGTCAGACTGTAAAAGAGGGTAGGCGGTGCAAACCCAAGCATCAGGGACCTGCAGAATAGCAATGCTGGAGAGAGATCCATTGGGAGCTAATGGGACAGAGTAGAAGTTAACTGGAATGAAAGTTGCGAGCAGTGAGAGTTGTGAGCATTTGTCAGACGCTAAACACTTTGCAGGTGTTGCCGCAATGTACGTGAAATTGACATGTCTTGATTTCAAGCACGGCTATAGACCAAGTTCTGTCTACCAGTTCTGGCGTGCATTTAGTGAAACTCATTACCGCAGCAATAGATGTGGCCAGGTCTTAACGTTACATTAAATCAGTCATTGACGTAATCATTCAGGTTGGCTTTATAGATGTAAACAAGTTGTCTGTGAGACATGTAAAGTCATATTTCACTTCCTCTTCTAACTGTAGACTTGTTCAGTTATCAGCAGGATTGCTGTGAAGGAAGGTAGGCTCTTTTTCAAGCTCTCATTTCATGTATTAAAGCAAAGCTAGTGAGCCTGTACTGTTGGAATATGCCAAATTAAAACAGTGTTTTTCTTATGCTTTTCATTTTGAATACCCTCTTGTCAAAGTGGGAAAATTACAATGAGGTAAGATTTTTGTTAGTGCATTTTATTTTGCTAAATTTATATTCTGAAAAATATTTGCAGTATTTTCTCAAGATATTTTTCCACAAACATAAAGAGGCAGACAGGTTTCAGAAATACAGGCAAGAACAGTATTGTGATTTGATCAGTTTGCCCGCCAAAATTTTGCAAGCATGGAAGAGCTAACATTGTAGCTGTAACAAACCGCCGGTGTTAGAGAGATTGAAATTTTAGTTCTGGCAATTAGTAGTAGCTTGATTGTTATCAAATGTTGTTACAAGAGGTCATTATGTTTTATTGTATAATTTCTGAGTAAAAATCAGTACAAATCTTTTATTTTAATTGCATTTGGTAGTAAAATAAATTCTAGCAAACCTCTGTTTCATCTACCAAAGGGTTTTTTTGGAATTAAAAAATTCCTTGTGCTAGCTGTTTTGATATGCAATCTATATGCTTTGTAATTATATTGTGAGGGCAGAATAAAAATGTTCCTTTGACTTGGGAGACTGAGAACACAATGTGATAAAAGTCTAAAGATGGGTGGGACCCAGTATTCTCAAAGAATATGCGGCAACTGCCACTGATAGGGAAAACGCAGTATGGTCTACGATTGCCATTATTAAACTAGATTAGACACAGCCAGATTCTCTGATGGAGGCATTTAAATCACACTTTCTAAAGCTTGTTTATTGAAGAGACTCTTTAATCCTGGGGCAAGTGTTCCAACAGGTGGCTAGATATCAGAGGGAATTTAACTGATTAATGTAATCCCTCATCTGGTGGCAGTTTGTGTATCATAACTTCAGACAAAATTCAGCTGCACAGCTGGGCTCCAAAGCTGAAGCAGTAAGTAAATCAAAAGGGAAATCCTCTTTTGGTGAATCAGTTAGCGTGCAAAGCCAGTCTTGCCATAGACTCCAGGTAGAAAGATCTTTAGCTTTAGCATATGAAATAAGGATGTTAGGGTTTTCTTTTTAAAAGCCACAATGTGTACTGTCAAAATGTGTCTCAATGGATGGTGCTTGGCGCTTTAATCCTGTCTGACCACAGTGGGCCAAATTCATCCCTATTGTAACTAGACATCAGCAGAATCATACTAATGATGAACTTGTCCCTGCATGGTAGAAGTGTCAGGGCAAGGGATCTGGGAAGGAGAGTGCACGTGTAAGAGTACTGTGGGGTCAGCAGTACAAACTTCCCTATCAGTATGAGTGACTAGTGGCAAAATGGACATACAAGGTGGCTATGGTATTATCTTTTATTAGACCAAGTTCTGGTGGTGAGAGAGACAAGCTTTTGAACCACTCAGAGCTCTTCTTCAGGTCTGGGAAAGTTATTCCGTGGGTCACAGCAAAATGCCCCATGGATCAGATGGTTTAGCATAAGTAATTTGCACACATTACAAGGGACATACAAAGTAGGAATGACCTATTAACAGTGGGGGCAAAAAACCTAATTGGCTTCAAGTGTGATCTTGATAAGTTTATGGAAAGAGGTGGGGGGTATGATGACACTGCCTACAATGGCTAGATATCTGTGACTGCTAGTAGCAAATATCCCCCAGCAGCCAGTGGATGGGATACTAGCTGGGGAGGGCTCCGAGTTATTACAGACAATTCTTTCCCAGGTGTCTGACTGGTCAATTGTGTTGAAATACTCAGGGTCCCATCTGCTCACCATCTTGAGGGTTGGGAAATAATTCACCTTCTACTGAAGGGTGGGGCATGGGACACTTGCATATTTAAATTAGTGTGAATGGTGGCTTCTCTGTAACTGGTAGGCTTTAAATTTGAGGACTTCCATAACTAAGTCAGAGATTAGGGGTCTATTACTGGAGTGTATTGGAGACTTCTGTGAGCTGCAATGTGCAGGAGACCAGACTAGAGGATTATGATGGTCCCTTCTGACTTTAAATTCTGTGAGTCTCTCTAATTTCTTGGGACTGGCATGACTACAACTATGCTGCACAGTGGAATAATGGAATACATTAATGGACATTTGATTCATATTGTCACTGAAAGACAGGTGTGGCCAACCAGAGCCTGAGATGGAGCCACAGTTTACCAATGTACATTGCCAAAGAGCTGCAGTAATTTGTCAGCAGTTCCCATCTGGTGCCTCCTCTCCCGTCTCCAGTATCTTTTGCCCACCAGCAGCCCCATCGATCAGTGCCTCCTCTTCCTTTCCTGCACCTCCTGCCCACTGCAATCAGCTGTTTCATGGCCCTCAGGAGGCTCTGTGGGGGAAAGAAGGAGCGAGGACACAATACACTTGGAAGAGGAGGTAGAGCTAGGAGTTGAGCACTGGACAGTTGGCACCTGTAGCTGCAGCCCTGGAGTCAGAGCCTGAGCAAGGAGTCACATACTAACTTCAGAAGAGCCACAGGTGGCTCCAGAGCCACAGTAAGCTACCCATGCTGTTAATCGTAGAATCATAGAATACTAGGACTGAAAGGGATCTCGAGAGGTCATCGAGTCCAGTCCCCTGCCCTCATGGCAGGACCAAATACTGTCTAGACCATCCCTGATAGACATTTATCTAAGCTACTCTTAAATATCTCCAGAGATGGGGATTCCACAATCTCCCTGGGCAATTTATTCCAGTGTTTAACCACCCTGACAGTTAGGAACTTTTTCTTAATGTCCAACCTAAACCTCCCTTGCTGCAGTTTAAGCCCATTGCTTCTTGTTCTATCCCCAGAGGCCAAGATGAACAAGTTTTCTCCCTCCTCCTTATGACACCCTTTCAGATACTGGAAAACTGCTATCATGTCCCCCCTCAGTCTTCTTTTCTAAACTAAACAAACCCAGTTCTTTCAGCCTTCCTTCATAGGTCATGTTCTCTAGACCTTTAATCATTCTTGTTGCTCTTCTCTGGACCCTCTCCAATTTCTGGACATATATATTTATTTCAGGCGAGATAGGCTGTGAGCAGCATTTATCTAGAAGAAGGCTCCATTTTCATTAAACTGTAGAGCTTTTCACTGCTGACTGTGAGGGTTTCAGTTTTCATTGTGACTCTAGGAACAGGATTTTGCAACATCACTATAGACGTGATACCACTTCATGGGCACAACAACAACAAATGGTAGGGCCAAGGAATGACAGTTCTACACTTCTTGGTCTGAACATGAGCATTCCTTTCCTGATATTGCCATGGAAATAGTATTTTTTCAGGCTTCCAGCTATAAGTAACCAAGTAACAGAGTGCACCAATAGAAACAATTTCTTTCAGTGTTATCGATGCAATTCAATTATGCAAATATCAATATGGTATTTTACTCAATATTGATTTTATTGAAATATCAGTTTCTGAAGAAGCTAAAATTACAGAAGGATCATGCTCGACTCCTGGCAGAACTAAATCCCCACTGCGAAGCTACTTAAAAAGCAAGGGCACCAGTGGTGTGTTGCATAGCATAGGTGGCAAACTAAAGTATTCCATTCAATTATCTTTTTTCCCCTATAATGAAGATCTGTCCCAGTGTTTAGAAGAAACAAAAAACAGGACTATGTAGCATTTTAAAGACTAACAAGATGGTTTATTAGGTGATGAGCTTTTGTGGACCAGACCCACTTCCTCAGATCAAATAGTGGAAGAAAATTGTCAAACTATTTGATCTGAGGAAGTGGGTCTGGCCCATGAAAGCTCATCACCTAATAAACCATCTTGTTAGTCTTTAAAATGCTACATAGTCCTGTTTTTTGTTTCTTCTAAACACTGGGACAGATCTTCATTATAGGGGAAAAAAGATAATTGAATGGAATACTTTAGTTTGCCACCTATGCTATGCAACACACCACTGGTGCCCTTGCTTTTTAAGTAGCTTCGCAGTGGGGATTTAGTTCTGCCAGGAGTCGAGCATGATCCTTCTGTAATTTTAGCTTACAGGATAGTTTTATCATGTTTTACATAAAGTGATTAATTATTGGCAAGCCTAGTGAACTGAGGTGTGAGAATGCTCTATACTTGAGCATTGTTATTTCATAAATGTTATCCATGATTTTGCACTTCCAATAATTTCACTTTCCTTAGCCCATATTTCAACATAGAGATCGTGACCCAGAGCCACTGAAATAAATAAAGAGCCTTTTACATACCCATTATTCAAATGTCAATGTAAAACAGATGCTTAATTTTTATTTTTTGTTAATAACATTTTAAAGGTATTCATGCAACCATGGGGCTGTACTCACAATGGTTTTGAACAGCTATCTTTGTGTAATTTCAGCAAATCAGGACTTTTCCATAACATCAGTAATTTAGGGATTTTTGTTTGAAATTATTCTGGTATCTATTGTGTAAAATCAGAACACAAGCTTTTCAGTTTGTGATAATCCCAGAAGATCAACACACACAAAACCAATAAAACGTAATTTAAAAAATAATGACACTACGTCTATTAGTAGTTTAGTACTTCAATACCTTAATTTCTCTTACCAGAATTAAAAAATCTTTCTGAAGGGAAAGGCAAAAAATGAAATCATGACACCTTGTGGCCAATTAAAGAATAGATTTTAGGAAGACACAAAAACTATGGTACAAAAGGTGCATTGTTTTCTAACCATCAGCAATGCTTGTCCTGCCTCATTCTGAACCTAGACCTTTTATCTGAGAAAATATGATTCTACTCAGGCAAGAAGCAACACAAACAGTGAGAAACCCTTTGAGGGAGAGGTATTTCCTCATGTCTGGAAACTCATGAGAAGGTTTATTTGGTCATTAGAAAATGAAGTCTGTATTGCTGGAAGTCATTTGAGTGCAGACAAGGCTTTATTGAAGCAGGGATGATACAATGTTATCTCAAATGCTTATTTAACACATGGGTTCTGTTTAAGACCTGCAGTAGGAGTGGTCTTACTGGTAAGCCAGGAAGTTGTGCTTGAATAAATCAAAAGCACTTATGAAATCTAATTCCTTAGTTATTTCATAAAATATAATAAAGGCTAATTGTGTCTAGTGCATCTGCATTGCAAAGGGACTCAAGCCAAAATATCCCATTT